CATCATCATTTATGTATCGGTAAGAATTAACAAGTTGGATTGCTGAAAAAGTGGTCCGATGCATATTTAGATTGTCTAGGAAAAAGCTAATTTAAAAAATAAAGCATCTTCTATTCTCCTTCACTTGTAATTTCTCGTTTCTTTCTTTAAATAGGCAACTTTGTCCGTCCTTCTTAGGTTCAAGTTATCCATTTTTAATATATTTTCTTTTGAGAGGGCATCTAAAATAATTTTTTTGATAAGGTAAATGATATTATTAAAAAGGAGAAAAACTCTCATATACAAGAGGTATACCAAAAGGTAGTGAATCTACATCAAAACGTGATTCTCTACAAAAGACACCCAATCATCTACACTAGTAGGAACTACATGGGTGCACCAAGAAGCAATCAAAGACAAAAGACTATTCCTTAAATGTGCAAAATTATTTTTAATCTCCTCAAAAGCTCTCCTATTTCTCTCCATCCAAACGACCCACATAAGTGCTAACAGAGCAATCTTCCATGCATTTTGTCTTCTTCTCCTATAAAAACCAGGGCCATCTATGCAACATGTCTCTAACGGGGCCTGACATCGCCCATTGAACACCAAAAAAGTTTAGGATTACCCTCCACAAGCCCAATGTCACAGAACGGTGCAACGAAAGATAATCAACTTCTTCCCCCGAGCATTTACACATATAGCACCAGCTTATGTGTGTAATACCTCTCTTCCTCAGATTATAAGCTGTCAAAATTGCTCCTCTCGCTGCCAACCATGCAAAAAAGCATACCTTCCTAGGTGCCCTAGGAATCCTGATATTTGGCTTAAAGTATGTATATTTATATGTATAATGCCTCGCATTTTACTCATGTTTCGTAGATTTCAGATGTGAAATATAATGATTTGCGATATTTCATGGTATTTTTATGTGTAGGAATCATCCGGAGGTAATGTGGGATGAAGGGGTGAGATTGGAAGCAAAAAGGAACGAAATGGGCAAAAGGCCACAGAGTAGCGCCCAGGCTAGCGTGGGGCGCTACCTGTGGTGCAGAAGTTAGAATTGCCAAAGGTCCCAGCGTCAGGGCTAGTGCCCCACGCTACCTTGGGCGCTGATGATAGGAAATTCTCCTATCTCGACCGGGACAAGGTTATTTCGACCCAAGAATCCCCCTCCCTCCAACTCATATAAAAGCAAGCCTAAACATATTTTGGAGGGGGAGGGACACCACTTTGAGAGAAAAATACACACGCGGAACACTCGGGAGCAAGGATTCTCAGTCTTTCTTCATCTTTTCTTTGTATTCTCAATTATTCAACACTTGTGAATTTGTTTTGATCTTATCATGAGTCGCTAAAACCCATAGTTCTGGGGTTGTGATTTAGTCATGAATATTATTTTTTGACGTTGACTTAACCTTGATTACAATTGCTAATATATGGTTGTTTCTTCAATTCTGTGATTAATTGCTTAATTGTCTGGCCAACAGTTATGCTCTATTTACTATCTTCTATGCTATGCTTGGTAATGCTACGTCTATATTAGAGAAGAATTGAAGAGGGCATGATCTTAACCTGAGTGGGAAAAATTTGTGGTTAGGATAGGAATATACCTAGTCACCATACTCAATTTAATACCGTAATCTTAATGCGTTCTTAATAGATTGATTCCATAGAAATATATGTGTTAATCTATTTTGAATAGGCGAGTAGTAATTTAGGAGAATACTACGAGAGCAATTATTCGATTGATTAGCAACCATGAGTGAATTGTATGAAAGGGAGAGTTAATTAGAACGCAATAGGATTGGTGAATCGATCATAACTCTGGAATATTCATCTCTACTGAGTGCACAACAACTATTTTGCTGCTTGATTAATTAGTTACTAGTTAGAATCGTAGCTTAGTATAATCACACTTTTGAACTCTGATTGACTCGACTGAATAATACTCTTGGTGAAACTAGTGGGTATTTAACACAAGTCTCTGTGGGTTCGACACTCAATTTATCACTTTAATACTTGTACGACCACGTATACTTATGTGTGCGTTTGGGAGGAACTAGTTTTTGGCGCCATTTCCAGGGACTTGAATATTGACTATTTTACTAGCTTTTACTTTAGTTGTTTATTTAGTCAAGTCTAACGTTTCGTATTGGTTGTTTTGCTCTCAGGAACTTTGATTGAATGCGAAGGGTTAGAAGCCAGGATAGACTTCAAGGCTTTGACCCCGAACCTGAGAGAACATTTTGCAGGAGGTTGAGTGAAGCAAGGGACATAGATAATCTTCAGGCACTTGTTCAATTATATATGAACATGCCAGAGGAGCAACATATGGTTGTTCAGGAGGTGGCGAAGCCCAGCATTGCTAATGTCACCTCCAATATTATGAAGCCCGAAATCACTGGGCACTTTGAGTTAAAACAGAACATGATCCAATTACTACATGCAAATGGGCAGTTTATAGGTCTTCCACACGAGGATCCACAACAACACATCCTGAACTACTTGGATATTAGTGATACTTATATCACTAACAGAGTCACTCCAGACTATGTGAGGCTCACAATGTTCCCGTTTTCTCTATTGGGCGAAGAGAATCGGTTGTTGAAGGAGGAACCAACTAATTCTATTACATCATGCCATGATCTGGAGAGGAAAGTTTTAGCACGATTGTTTTCTTCAGGAAAAACTGCAAAGATTAGAAGTGATATAGTCACCTTTAAGCAGAAATCGGGGGAGTCTTTATATTCAGCTTGGGAGAGGTTCAAGGGGCTTCTCAGAGATTGTCCTCATCACAACTAGAGAAATGAAGTGTAAGCTCACACCTTCGTAGAAGGGCTCCATATGGAGACAAAAATTGTGGTGAATGCTATAGCGGGAGGTTAAGTGTTGGAGAAAAGCTTTAATAAAATTTGTTTCTTATTGAACAAATTCTCCAAAAGTAATCCTGATTGGCAAGGAGAGATGGGCAGACACACCGTTCAAAAATCTGCGGGGTCCTCGAGTTAGATGTTATTTTTGTATTTTCAGTGCAGGTTACCACATTGGCCAACCAAGTCAATAAGATGACCTTGGTTTTTAACAAGCAACAAGCTCAACCAGTGCAACAGGTTCAGATATTTTGTGAAGTATGTAGAGAGGGTCACACAAGAACTTATGCCCAGCTAATTCAGAGTCTGTATGTTTTGTGGGTAATGCAAATATGGGCCAGACAAACCAATATGGGAACACTACAATCCTAAATGGAGGAACCACCCAAACTTCTATTGGGGTGAAAACCAAGGTGCTCAAAATCAGTATAGGCCACAAGCTCCTCAACAGCAATATAGACTACCACAGGCTGAAAAACCTACAAACCCGATGAGTCACATTGAGGAGATGCTAAAGAAATTGATGGTTGATCAACAGGCCCAGGCAGCAGCCCACTCTACAACTATTCGAAATTTGGGGAGACAAATTGGGCAACTTGCCAGCGCCCAAAATACTCAACCAATTGGAGCTCTTCCAAGCGACATTGAGGCTAATCCTAAGGCATCTATTAATGCGGTGTCATTGAGGAATGGGAGATAATTAGAAGAAGTCCCATTAAAAAAAAGAAAGCAAGTGACATTTAATGAAAAACATGCCACCATAGAAGTAGAATCAGAAAAAGCAAAGGAGTTAGAGAAGCCAGTTGGAGAGGCAGTGGCAAAGCAAACCTAACCACTAGTTGCAAGGACACCACCTCCTTTCCCTCAGAGATTGCAGAAACTAAAGGATAATGCTGCTTATAAAATTTTTTTTGATATTTTGAAGTAGATGCAAACTAACATTCCGCTGGTAGACATCTTTAAAGAAGTGCCCAAATATGCCAAATATATCAAAGACATAGTGGCAAATTAGAGGAGGTTGGCCGAGTTTGAGACTGTGGCACTCACTGAAGAATGTAGCTCAAGAATTCAAAGCAAGATACCTAAGCAATTGAAGGATCCAAGTAGTTTCACTATCCAAATCTTGATTGGTAAGCACGCAGTCGGGCAAGCTTCGTATGATCTTGGGGTGAGCATCAATCTGATGCCGCTATCTGTTTTAAGACAGTTGGGGTTGGGTGAGCCGTGCCCAACTACGGTGATTCTACAGTTGGCCGATCACTCCCTTGCTCATCCTGAAGGGGTGATTGAAGATGTGTTAGTTCAAGTGGGTTCTTTTATATTCCCTGCTAATTTCATTATCTTAGACTATGGGCCTGATCAGGAAGTCCCATTTATTTTGAGGCGTCCATTATTAGCCATGGGCCGAGCTATTATTGTTGTTTTTTAATAAAATAGGACAATGAGAGTGGGTGATCGAGTGAAGGTATTCAATGTGTATAAAGCACTCAGTTTGCCAGCCCACTATATAGAGCTATCCATGATTTCTGTGGTGTAAAGTGATGTGACTTCATTGGTGCGGTATATGAGCCCCATAGATCCTCTTGAACGAGTTTTGATGGGGCATGAAGAAGAAAGTGAAGATGATATGGAAGAAATTGAGCAAGTCCTTAACATGTCTTGCAAGTATGTCCATGGGCTTAGAGATTTGAAGAGTTGGACAGACTTGTTACTCTGACCCCTCCTAAACCATCTGTTGAAGAAGCTCCAAAGCTAGAGCTTAAGCCTCTTCCAGCGCATCTGCACTATGCTTACTTGGGAAATTCTGAAATGTTGCAAGTGATTATCTCATCCAACTTGACCAATTTGCAAGAAGAAAAGCTGCTAAGAGTGCTTCGTGAGCATAAAAAAGCTATTAGGTGGACAATTGCTGATATCAAGGNGGGTGGATAATTGCTGATATCAAGGGGATCAATCCATCATTTTGCATGCATAAATTGTTTTGGAAGATGGACACCGCCCCAATGTTGAGAAACAAAGTAGGTTAAATACTATTATGAAGGATGTCGTGAAGAAGGAAGTAATTAAGTGGCTTGATGCAGGTATCATCTTTCCTATTTATGACAGCAACTGGGTAAGCCCAATGCAATGTGTGCCTAAAAGGGGGGGATGACTGTTGTAGAGAATGAGAAAAATGAGCTAATTCCTACTCTCACCGTGATGGGGTGGAGAGTTTGCATTGACTACAAAAGGCTTAACAAAGTAACCTGCAAGGACCACTTCCAACTTCCATTGATTGACCAAATGTTGGATAGGTTGGCTGGGTATGAGTACTATTTCTTCCTTGATGGTTATTCGGGGTACAACCATATTATCATATGCCCGGAGGATCAGGAGAAAACAATTTTCACATGTCCTTGTGGTACTGTTGCTTTCAAGCGAATGCTATTTGGTCTTTGTAATGCACCGGCTACTTTTCCGAGGTGCATGATGGACATTTTTACTAATATGGTGGAAAAATTTGTACAAGTCTTCATGGATGATTTTTCAATCTTTTGGTCTTCTTATGATGATTGTTTGAAGAATTTGGGCAAGGTGTTGGCACGTTGTAAACAAATTTGGTGCCAAATTGGGAAAGTGCCATTTAATGGTGCAAGAGGGCATCGTGTTGGGACATAGAGTGTCAAAGAGTGGCATTGAAGTTGAGAAGGCGAAGGTAGAGGCGGTTGTAAAATTACGTCCACCCATCTCTATAAAGGGCGTCTGGAGTTTCTTGGGACACGCGAGTTTCTGTAGACGATTTATTAAAGTTTTTTCAAAAATTGCTACTCCATTGTGCATGTTGCTTGAAAAGGATGTGACCTTCAATTTTGATGAAGCCTGCTTGAAAACATTCGAGGAGCTCAAATAGAAGTTGGTGGTTGCCCTTATTATTATGGCACCATATTGGTCCTTACCATTTGAACTTATAAGCGACGCCAGTGACCATGCTATTGGAGCAGTGCTAGGCTAGAGGAATGACAAGACTCCATATACTATGCGAGTAAGACTCTTGATGATGCACAGCTGAATTACACCACCATTGAAAAGGAGTTGTTGGCAGTTGTGTAGCCCTTTGAGAAATTTTGGGCTTACTTGGTGGGGACAAAAGTTATAGTCCATATTGATCATGTGGCAATAAGGTATCTATTTACAAAAAAGGAATCCAAGGCTAGATTGATGCGTTGGGTGTTGTTGTTGCAGGAATTTGATGTAGAAATACGAGATCGGAAGGGCACATAAAACCAAGTAGCCGACCATCTATCAAGGCCGGAAAATCATGAGCAAGTGGAGGAAGGTGGAAACATTAAAGAGACATTTCCTTATGAGCAACGTTTTGCTATCACCCACGACTCTCCTCCATGGGACACGAACTATGTGAATTGTATTGTGAGTGGAGTGTTTCCTACTGAAATTCAATCTGAGGCTAGGAAGAGGTTTCTTTATTATGTGAACTTTTACTAGTGGGATGAGCCATTCTTGTACAGACAATGTGCTGATCAGTTGATGAGGAGATGCATTCCTAAAAAAGAGGCAAAATTAGTGTTGTATGACTGCCATACCTCGCCTTATGGGGGCCATCATGTAGGCGATAGGACAGCTGCAAAGGTTTTATAGTCTGGGTTCTGTTGGCCAACATTCTTCATGGATGCCTATTCATATGTTAAGAAGTATGATTAGTGTGAGAGAACAAGAACAATCACGAAGAGGCATGAGATGCCTTTGAATAACATCCAGGAGGTAGAGATTTTTGATATGTGGGGGATAGACTTCATGGGACCATTTCCATTGTCTATATGAAATAAATACATCTTGCTAGCGTTTGACTACGTGTCAAAATGGGTAGATGTGATCACATTTCCAACCAAGGATGCCAAGGTGGTAGCTACTTTTGTGAAGAAAAACATATTCTCAAGGTTTGGGACTCCACATGCCTTGATTAGTGATGAAGGGACACATTTCTGCAATCGGTTGTTGAATAACCTTCTAGCCAAATATGGGGTCCACCATAGAGTTTTCACAACATATCATCTGCAAACAAGTGGACAAGTTGAAGTGTCCAACAGAGAAATAAAGCAGATATTAGAGAAGACAATGAGTGTGAATAGGAAAGATTGGGCTGGAAAGCTAGATGATGCCTTGTGGGCATCTATAACTGCATACAAAACACCAATTGGGGCATCCCCATATAAGCTTGTTTATGGGAAGGTGCATTGGGCGATTAAAAAGTTAAATATGGACTTTGAAGCCGCGGGCGAGAAGAGTCTCTTGTAGTTGAATGAGTTAGATGAGTTCAGGCTGCACTCCTATGAAAATGCTAAGCTTTACAAAGAGAAAACAAAAAGACGGCATGATAAGCGTATCAATCTACGTCACTTTGAACCAGGCCAAAAGGTACTATTGTTCAATTCTAGGCTTAAGCTATTTCCTAGGAAGTTAAAATCAAGGTGGTCAGGTCCATTTGAGGCGGTGAGAGTCACTCCTTATGGTGCACTTGAGTTGCGCGCTTTAAACGGTGAAAGAAAATTTTTAGTGAATGGGCAAAGAATAAAGCACTATTAGGAGGTGTCACTGATCATCAGAAGTACAAAGTAATACTCGCTGACGAGTAAGCGAGGCCCTGCGTCGTGCCGCGATGTTAAATCAGACGCTTGTTGGGAGGCAACCCAATTTTTATTATTTTTGTAGCTTAGCTTTTTGTTTTTTTAGTTAGAGTAGACTAGAGTTGTTATTTTCTTTGTAATCATAGAAATCATAGGTAGAATGGTATGGGATGTGAAATAAATGGATATATTAAGTGCTCGGGGGATCGGGGATTTCATTTTTAAAAATAAAGGCAGAAAATCACAAAAGTAGCGCCCAACGCTACTTTGGGCGCTACTTGGGGCGCACAAAACAAAAGGTTTTTTTCCTAGCGCGACGCGCTGGGTTGGGGGGTGAAAGGTAATGTTTAAATTTGTTTTCTTTTCTTTTCCACATTATTAGTTAAAACACCCATTAAACCATAAAACCCGACCCGAATACCCATCTACCCTCACCTAATAACCCATACCTAATAACCCATACCCATCTCCACTCAAATTAAAAAATAACTCTAACCCCTAAATCTCTTTCTCTCTCTTTCTCACCCGTTCTCCCCGCTACTCTATCTCTCTCTGCCCGCTTCTCTCTCTATCTCCATCTCACTTTTCTAGTTTCTTTCTTACATTCATCTCCAATCCCTCCAGGTATGTTCCCCCATCTCCCTTTTTCTTTTATTTTGTGGATTATATTTCCCATCCCCCCTTCTAAACGACCCAACCCAAATTCCCCTATAAGTTGCTTCTTAGAACTTATTTTCTATGGTGGGTGGCCCTATTGTGGAATAAAATTGGTTGTTAAAAACTAGTTTTGAAGTTGTATACGGAGTGTGTAAACTACAATTCCCTCTATTTTGTTTAAAATTTGGGAGGACCACCATGTTCCACCATTGNATTAAACACTAGTTTTGAAGTTGTATACGGAATGTGTAAACTACAATTCCCTCTATTTTGTTTAAAATTTGGGAGGACCACCATGTTCCACCATTGTTGAATTGGAGTGCACACACTTAATGACCACTATGTGCTTGATAAAATGCTTGAAAGAGTAAACCGTGCACTGGTGAAGTCTGAGTAGCCGAATGTAGTTATATGTGATGTCAGGCTAAGTGTGGGGTGTTTGGGGGTGGTTTTACATAACCCGAAGCTTGTCTTTAATGTTCGCATGCCATAACTACACCACCCACACCATGTATCCTGTATTATGTATATTGTATCACTTTGTTAGAATTAGCTAGTGTAGTGTATTAGTTGTAGAGATTAAGGACCATGTGTTACTTGCTTGCACTAAGGTTACGTCACTTCGCCATGTTCAATTACTTGATTTGCGTGGAATAGTTAGTGAATGATAATTGTGCGGCATGGGGAGGACTTGAGTACCCATCTCCTTGTGGTGCAACATTTGTGCACTTTGAACCTAAGTTGCTCGGACACGGCAATTTGGGTGCCGAACCTGTGTCGACATGACACTGACACAGGTAAGGGTGTGGGATCTATTTCGGATCCGGTCAGACAAGATGGGTGCATTGACCAAAATTTTGGGAAAATTTTTGAGAATTGATTTCTCTAAGTAAAGATTTGAAGAGAAGAGAAACGATATACCTTCAATTTCGCTGCTATGTAGTAATTTATACTAGTCCTTTTGTCTCCTTTGAACATTTTTGTCTTGGTTAATCTTCTTGTTCATGCTGCATGTTTCTGAATTAAGAGCTCCTGTGTTTTTTAGGGCAGAGAAGCGGGTGATGGGTGGTGGACTACTAGATTGAGATATAACAAGCCGACCGGTCATTTTTGAGATTTGTAGCCTCGTTTTCCCATTTACTGCTCATTTTGTACTTTATATTTGTTATGTGACATTCCAGGGTAGTTGGTTTAAGTTCGGAGTGAATTCAGAATGGAATAAGACACTTAGTCTCAAGGTTGAAAGCTTAAGTTGAAATGATTGACCAGATATCGATCTATGATTAAATGACTTCAGAATAGAGTTTTGATGGTTACGCTAGCTCCGTTGGGTAGTTTTGGACTTGAAATGTAATTATATATTTAACTGAAACTAACAATTAACTTTATTTGACTCATTTACCCGATAATAAAATATAAACACTATCATATGTAATTAAACAATGTATAAGGTTATATGATTTTGGGGTTTGAGGTTTGGAGTTTGATTAATAATTATATTTCTATTAAAACTTAAAATATTTTTAAATTAAAATGATAAAATCAAGTGGGTAAAAATCTCATGTAATAGTATAAGTTTTGATATAATGAATTGCACAAAGTTTAATCACATATTTCTTCAGGACTACAACTTAACTTTATCCAGTTAACCATTAATAAGACATTAGGATATATTTAGTTCTCAAACAAATCACATTAACCAATCAAACATGTTAGACATTTCTTTCATTTTATTAGTGTAACAACTCGATCGGTCGTTTTGAGCTCTAGCACATCGATCTGTGGTTTGAGGCCTTGAGTAGTCCCACTTCAGGTATTATGACTTGNGTGTTAGACATTTATTTTATTTTATTAGTGTAACAACTCGACCGGTCGTTTTGAGCTCTAGCGCATCGATATGTGGTTTGAGACCTTGAGTAGTCCCACTTCAGGTATTATGACTTGTACGTGTGGTCCGAATTAAATTTCGGAAAGTTCGGAGTTGATTTGGAAAGAAAATTCTAAATTCGAAAGCTTTAAGTTGGAAGGGTTGACTAAGGTTTTACTTTTGAGTAAACGACTTCGAAATGGGGATCTGAAGGTTTCAATAGGTTTGTATGATGATTTCGGACTTGTGCGTATGTTCGGGTTGAGTATCGGGTGGTCTGAAAGCATTTCGGCGCCTATTATGGAAAGTTGGCATTTTGGAAGTTCTAGGATTTCATAAGTTTGGTTTGAACTGGATTTTGATGTTATTGATATCTGTTTGGAGTTCCAAGCCTTGGAATAGGTTCGTATCATGATTTGTGACTTGTGTATAAATTTTGGCGTCATTCCGGAATGTTTAAGCGTAATTCGAAGGTTGGAAAGTCGAAAGAAAGGTTTTTCATCGCCGATTCATAATTTTGATGTTGTTTGACATGATTTGAGGCTTCGACTAAGTCCGTATCGCGTTTTGGGATGTGTTGGTACATTTGGATGGGGTCCCGAGGGCCTCGAGTTTGAAATAGATTGACAACGGATTGGAATTCGGATTTGAGGAGATGTTGTTGCTGCTGAAGACTGGTGTAATCGCACCTGAGGAAGCAGTGGCCGCATGTGCACAGGGCGTCGTCGCATGTGATATCCGCCGATTCATAATTTTGATGTTGTTTGACATGATTTGAGGCTTTGACTAAGTCCGTATCGCGCTTTGGGATGTGTTGGTACATTTGGATGGGGTCCCGGGGGCCTCGAGTTTGAAATGGATTGAAAACGGATTGGAATTTGGATTTGAGGAGATGTTGTTGCTGCTGAAGACTGGTGTAATCGCACCTGAGGAAGGAGTGGCCGCAGGTGCGGTCACGCAGGTGCATAGGGCGTCGACGCATGTGATATTTTCATGAAGAAGGTTTGGGGGGGCATGTGCGAGGAAATTCCGCACCTGCGAAGTCACAGATGCGGAGAAGGGGTCGCAGAAGCGGTCCTGGGTGAGAGGCTGTGGTAGTGCAGGTGCCAGGGAATTTCTACACCTTCGAGCATGCAGGTGCGGGCTGTTGGTCACAGAAGCGGGAAGGGGCCTTGGGCTGAAGGAGCACAAAAGCGCAATGGTGGCTCGCACCTACGTTTACGCAGAAACGGACATTCTGCCGCAGGTACGCTGGAGCAGCTGGGCAGTGTACTTCGCAGAAGCAAGCTTTTCCTCGCAAAATCGAGATAGCAGGTGCGACAAATTCGTCCACAGGTGCGAAAGTCGCTGGGCAGTGGGGTATTTTTAATCCCAGACTTAGCCCATTTCTCTCACATTTTCATTTGGTTGGGCGATTTTTGGAGCTATTGGAGGGGAGAATTTCATCATCTATTGTGAGGTGAGTTATTCCCACTTATTATAAGTTAAATACTTTGATTCTATAAGGATTTAAACATGAAAATTAGTAGAAATTTAGGATTTTGGTATAAAACTTAGAAATTAGTATTTTTGAATTTTGACTACAAAATTGGACATGGAATTGAAATAATTCATATATTTGAGTTCGTGGCGTCATGGGTAAAGTTTATCTTCGAAAATTTTCGGAATCTTGGCACGTGGGCCCGAGGGTTGACTTTATTGATTTTTCGAGTGGAGTTGGGAATTTTTTATAATATGATTAATTATAAGAATTGGAGTATATTTTGATTGATTTGCACATTGTTTGACTAGTTTTGGGTCGTTTGTCTTTGAGTTGAATAATTTGAGAGGCATTGGAGCCAGTTATGGAACTTCGGAGCAAGGTAAGTCTTCTGTCTAACTTTGTGAGGGGAAAAGTACCCCCTAGGTGATGTAATTATTATGTGCTATTAGTTGTGGGTGCTACATACGCATGTAGTGATGAGAGTTCGTACGTAGCTAAAGCATGTTTATGTTCGGGTAGACTTAGGACTTTACCATGTAATTTGGAATATTTGGATTCATTCTGCTGGCTTAATTAATTGAAATTATAATTGAACTTGATTTAGAAATATATATATTATGATGAGCCTTATTACCTTGAGTTGTTGGCAAGTTATTTGAGAACC